GACTCCACGGCAGTGGGTGTGGTTTGGGTTTTGCTTCTGTGAAGACTGACAGCCTTGGAGACCCTGTGGGCAGTTCCACTCTGTCCTCTAGGCGCGCTGTGGGTCAGAATCACACACGTGACCCCATGCATGTCAGACACAGTCCACAACAACAATAGTCAAATTAAGCATCTTCAAGGAAAAAAAAAACGTCTATTCTGATATATCACAGATGTCTACTTTAAATACCATTTTCAAGCCCTGTTTCTACTCCTGAGTACGTATGCAACACAACACTGCAGCTCCAGCACTCTACACACGATCCTGTGACAGGCCTGTGTTCACATGTCATGCAGCCATCACCATGTGTCTCCAAATTTCCCATCACCCTTAACGCAGCTCAAACAAAAAAAAAAAAGAAAGAAAACAAATAGCCAAACTCGCTGCCGCCGAGTCAGATATGACGCACAGCAACCCCTCTTTGGTTTTCTGAGGCGGTATCACTACAGATGTAGATTGTCCAGTCTTCCTTCCAAGGAGTGGCTGGTGGGTTTGAACCGCCAGCCTTCTGCTTAGCAGTCAAATGCTTTAGGCACTACGCCACTAGAGCTGCCAACAGCAGTTCAGGGTCCCCTAATAAAATATTGTTTGTAAATTACTGAATACTCCAGTTATGTGATGCTCCCCCCCCACCTTCAAGAGCCCCGCCATCTGTCCAGACAGGCTGCACTTTCAGAAGCACTAAATAGCACAACTATTGTTACTGTTGTGTTCGCGAGTCAATCCTGACCCACAGAGGCCCTGCAGGACACAGCAGCACTGCCCCACGCGGGCTTTCTGAGGCCGCCGTCTTCACGGAGCAGACCACACGTCTCCTCTCCTGAGGAGCTGCCGCTGAGCCAAAACCACCAGCCTCTCAGCTAGTGCCGTCGGCTGCCGTCAAGTCGACCTGCCTCACGGCGACCCCACGGAACGCAGCAGGCCGCCCCACAGGGTTTCCCAGGCGCTCAGCCCGGGGGGCAGACTGCCAGGTCTCTCCTCCGTGGAGTCACCGGCTGCCACCAGGGCTCCTAACTACACCAAGCAGCGTTTGCACACACGGTCTCCAGGTGCTCAACGTGACCGCGCTCCGGGACTCCGGGGGCTGCACCAAGTCACAGCCACCGGCCCCTGCACAGCGTCTCAGCTCTGCTGTCTTCGACGTTGGATCTGCCTTTCCAGGGTGTATGATTAATATCCCGCAGCCTGACGCTGTGGTGCCCGACTGCCAAGCTCACAGCACTCTGTGAAGCTGGCATGCTAATCACCAGGCATGAGGACAGAAGGACGTCCAGCCCCCACAGGAAGTTCTCCTAAGTGTGGGAACGTCCCCACATCAGGTGTCAGGGTGGACTGAGGATACCAGGTGACAGTCTCCTCCCCCTCCCAGTCCTGGGCTTTGAGGCCCAGCCGACCCCAGGAAGGACGGGGGCTCGTGCTGCCTGCAGACCCCGCTGCCTTCACTGTGTCCAGGAGGAATGTGGAAGGTGGTGGTGCGTTAAGATGGCACCTGGTCTCAGTGGGATCCACCGTCGAGCCAAGGCCTCAGCACCGTGGCAGGGGCAAGGCCCGTGGGAAAGCACTTACCTCCGAGCATCCTCTTGGGCGGAAGGGCCGGCACCATGCGGTACGGGAACCTGTGCAGCAGTGTGTCGTGGAAGACCACGAAGTCATTGTACCGTCTGTACACGGACGACCTGAAGCGCTGCCACAGAAGGAGCTCAAGTCAGACGCCAGCACGGCACGTCACTCCCCTCACCTCCCCGTCCTCCACTGGCAGAGCGCACAGAAGTAGCCTCATGACACGCTTGTCTCCCCTCACCAAGTGGAGACGGCAGCCGTCAGCCCTTGGTGGCTGGAAGACAACTTAAACTCTGTGTGCTCTTAGTCGCATTTTTAACTATCTGCCATCACAGCTCTTCTGTGTCAGACAAGAGTCTTGGAAGAGTTTTCACCCCGTAGGGTGGGCACGTGACGGTCCCCGGGGGTCCACACGAGGCTTGACCCCCCCCCGTGGTGCTGCAGAAAGAAGGCCTAGTGGTCTGCCTCCATAAAGGTGACCAGCAAGAAACCTCGAAGGGCAGCTCTGCTCTGCGACACGTGGGGTCGCCGAAAGTCAGAATCGACTGGGTCTCAGCTACCAACACAGTGAGGTGGCCCATCCCCCCGAAAAGGCAGCACCTGACATCAACATATGCTGTACCTTAGGGTGTGTCCTCAGCGTGTGCTCTCAAATGACCCGGCATCCCTACAGCAGAAAGCACCCCCACCGCGTAAAACCAGAAGACGGCACTTCACGCAAACAAAAAACGAAACAGCCAACAGGCCGGCCCGGCCCTCACCACCACAGGGACCACAGGACGCACGTCCCAGCCAATGATCCAGATGCCCCGGGGCCCACTCGAGTCGGCCAACCCCACGCGTGTCAGGCACAGCCCACTCAGACCCGGCCAACCCCGTGCGCGTCAGGCACAGCCCACTCAGACCCAGCCGACCCCCGCTCGTCAGGCACAGCCCACTCGCACTTGGCCGACCCCCGCGCATCAGGCACAGCCCACTCGCACTTGGCCGACCCCCCGCGCGTCAGGCACAGCCCACTCAGACCCGGCCGACCCCACACGCATCAGGCACAGCCCACTCGCACTCGGGTGACTACACACGTCAGGCACAGCCCACTCGGACCCGGCCGACCCCACGCGTGTCAGGCACAGCCCACTA